AAAAGAAACAAGAGGTGAGCAGGAGGGGAGCAGGAGAGGAGAGAAAGAAAACAGGAGCAGGGGAGGGGAGAAAGGAAGCAGAAGAGATGAGCAAGGAGAGCAGGGGAGTAAAGAATGAGCAGGACAGTAAAGAATGAGAGAAGTAGAGTATTAGAGTAGCCATAGAAGTAATAATAATAAAGCATGTAATAAGAAGATTTTGAATTTATCATGACCCACGACTCCGTGTAATTCCTTTATCGCCGACGCTGCACCCGCCTTCAGAAAAAACCCTGAAATAAATATGCCGGGGTAAGCTCTCCGCAATGGATTGCCATAGTAGCTGCAACAACAAGCTCAAACATAGGACTGATTGTGAGAATGGCGAGGACCCAGAAGTATTCTACTCTCTTGTATATAGGGTCACTGTGATTTGGAACAGACTCAAGATCACCTAACTACAACAACATCAATATTCTCTCACCTGAGAACACCTACTGTAGGAGCCACCCACAGACATTTTGGAAAAAGTTCTGCCATTTACACTTTCTAAATCCACTTTCTCAATTTTCTACCCCAAAGAAATCACTAATCTTCAAATGGGTTTAATAAGTAGAAACATTCTAACTTACCAAACAAGATGAAAACGTCTTGTAAGCCAATATGGAGAGTGAGCCAGAAATAACGAACTATAGAAATAGATAAAATAAATTATGAAACTGTGAGTTCTCATATAGTTCCTGGGCACAGTTCTTTTACTGATCTTGTTATATTCATCTAGCTTTCCTCTAAAAAATTCTTCCCATATTTCTCAGTTTTCTGGAATGACTCTCAGGGACTATATCCTGGACTTATTCGTTTTACATTGTTTTCCTCCTTAGCTTCTTACCTATAAAGAACACTTATTTTCTTGTAAACATACCTACCTTCCATTCTTTGATGATTTCCAAGCTTACTGGTCAGCCTCTTTTCAGGGTCAACTATATATTTTTAATCATGTTTCCCATCACTCTTTTTGCCACCCCCACTCAACACATATATTCCAATGTATGATGTAATAAGGAACTATATTTGACTTGGTCAGAGTAAACTTTAGGGCACGGATTTAAGTTGTAAGTCAAAATGGAGAAGAAAAGTACTCCCTTCTTTCTGCTCCATCAGAGCTAATCCACATGTAAGCTTATTGAGACAAGGGTCATGCATAAGGAATATTTCTGTGTTTGTAAACTGGGAAGAAGAGGCATTCTAGTTATCTACTCACAGAGATGCCACCCCAGAATACATATCCGCTAATAAATGACAAGGAAGTAAAAGTCGAATTGGATGCAGGATTGGTCAGTAAAGCCAAAATAATTCCAAAGCCAAAGTGCAACAGTCCGATCATGATCTGAATGCCCTGAAGGAAGAAAACACAGACATGTTAAGATTGCTTATCCATTTCCAGACCTTTGAAACATCACTATCATTGCAGCTGCTGTTTATTGATGTCAACTTTGGCAAGATCTCTGGGTGTCATTAAGCATAGCTTTAAAACAGGAGGTGAGCTAGGATTTGGAAATACTCCAGAGTAACAGCTTAAAGCCTGATTTCAAGTATCTGGGGAAGCTTGCTGGGGGTGGCCTGGAAGAGTTCTTCAGAAAGCGCTACCATTAAGCATCCATTGTTGTTGCTGTTGTTAAGTGCTGTTGAGTTGGTTCCGACCCATAGTGACCCTGTATAGGGTTTCCAAGGGGCTTCTGGTGAGCTTGGACCACCAAACTTTTGATTCAAACCAACTTTGTGGTCCAATGCATTAAACCACAGTGTCACACCAGGACTCTACATCCCCTAAAGGAGCACTGGTGGCTCAGTGATTAAGCTTTTGGCTACTAACCAAAAGGTTAATGGTTCAAGCCAACCAGGCACTGTGTAGGAGAAAGACGAGGCAGTCTGTTTCTGTAACTATTACAGCCCTGGGAAACCTCTGCTGGTGTTAGACTCTGTCCCTATAGGGGCGCGATGAGTTGTAATCCACTCAACTGCAGCAAGTGTTCTCCCCTGAGTAGTTCCTGGGTGGCACCAACAGCTAAGCACTGGACACTAACTGACAGGGTGACAGTTCAAACTCATCCAGAAGTCCTTCAGAAGAAAGATCTATCAATCTACTTCCAAAAGGCCACACTCTTGGAAACCCAATGAAGTGTATTTCTATTGTATACAACATAGATTTGCTGTGAGTTGGAATCAACTTGATGGTTTTTTTTTCCAAATCTTTTTGGCTAGCATTTCCAGAGAGAGGGGAGTGGTAGTTCATTGCCTTACTGGGAGACCTGGGTTCAATTCCTGGACAATGTACCTGATGAGTAGTCATCACCCATCTATGTGTGGAGGCTTTCCTGTTGCTGGGATGCTTTAGCTATGACTCAGGGACTCCAGTGTTGCTTCTCCAAATGAACCAGTTCTCTCTCATTCAGTTCCACTTTACCTGACTCTTCCTTGTTCTTCAAAAATTCACACAAATTGTCATTGGAAGACCTTTGTACTGGCTGGTATCTACCCGTGTGACTCTCTCCTTACTTCCTTCATGTTTTTGCTCAAATGTCATCTTCTATTACTCTAATACTTCTAATACAAACTTAGAATTACTACGTCCTCATTGTCCAATATTTCTTGTCTTTTTTTATACTTTTTTATTTCTTAATGCAGAACTTACCATCTTCTAACACAGTTCTGGACTCCAGATGTGGTGCTGTAGGATTAGCATTGGACTGTGAACCACAAGGTCTGCGATTCAAATCCAGCAGCTGTTCCTCAGAGCAGCTATGAGTCAGAACCTACTTGGTGGCAGCTATGGTCACTATGAGTCAGAAACAACTGGACAGCACTTAATAACAGCACTGCTCTGGTGTGGCACTGTTGGATAAGGACTGGACTGCTAACAGCAAGATTGGTGGTTCAAACCCACTAGCCGCTCCTTGTAAACCCTATATAGGGTCCTTATGAGTTAGAACTGACTTAATGGCACTTAACAACATGACACTATAGCACTGGTGGTGATGTGGATAAGCACTGAATGGCTTGGAAACCCTATGCAGAATACCACTTGGAAACCCTATACAGGATCTCATTATGAGTCAGAGCCAATTCAACGGCACTTAACAATAACATTGAGCAAATGAGATAAACTAGGACCGTTGACCCCACACAGGCATTGGGGAATATTTATGAGACTAAAATGGATACAATGTCAGTTCACATGAAGCCTACAGGCTAGTAGGGACAATCAGACTATAAAGATAACGAACACGGAAATGGCATAGTTAAAAGCCAAAAACCAAACAGACCCATTGCCATAGAGTTGGTTCTCACTCACATTAACCCAGTAGGACAGAGTAGAATGGCCCCACAGGGTTTCTAAGACGATAAATCATCACAGAAGCAGACTGTCACATCTTTTTCCCTTAGAGTGGCTGGTGGTTTTCAATCATCGATATTTCATCTAGCAGCCAAGTGTATTAAAACCAAACCAAACCAAACCAAATCCATTGCCACTGAGTCAAGTCTGACTCATGGGGGACCTTTTATAGGGTTTCCTAGGTTGAAAATACTTATGGGCTCACTAGCCATTCCTCAGAAACCCTATACAGGGTCACTATGTGTCAGAACTGATTCGATGGCACTTAACAACAAACAACAAACAATCTTTATGGGAACAAAAACCCTCATCTGTCCCTCTCTAGTGGCTGGTGGATTTGAACTGCCTACCTTGAGGTTCAAACTGACCTTTTGGCCTAGTGCATTATCCTACGGCACCACACCAGAACTCCATTTGCTCAATAGGAGGAGATAATTCTGCCTACTTGCTCTCTATCTGGCTATAGGAGGGTCCATCTGAACCCCTCTTTTATCCACGTGACTTAGATCTGGCAGCTTAGTTTTACTCTCCTAAAACAATGGGACTTTAGATAGGTGGTAGGATTGCTAGAAGAGTGGCCTGGTACATACTGGACCTGAAATAGAATTTCCTGAATGCTCTAGCTGAGTGGACAGAGCTGCACACAGGGACCAACTTAAGAGTGCAAATTGTGATAGTCGTATGGATGAAATATCAACATAGCAAAGGGTCTAACATTTCTACACAGGCAGGTGAGTCTTTGTCTTTAAGTAGGGCATGTTGCACAATGCCTACAACACTATGTGTGTTCAAAGTATCCCTTACAGAAGGGAGGTGGTAGCTATTGTTTGATGTCTTTGAATCTATTTTGACCCATAAAAACTCCATGTGACAGAGTAGAACTGCCCTGTAGGAGTTTTTAGCTTGCAGTCTTTATAGGAATAGATTGACAGGTCTTTTTATAGGGAAGATGCTATGTAGTTTCAAGCCACCAATTTTTTAGTTACCAACCTAATGCTTAACTATTGTGTTACCAGACCACCTACATGGGAGTTAAGTTATAAAATCTCCAAAGGCACTGGGCATAGAATGACCCTTGATTATTTTTTTTTTCATACCAGAAGAGAAGACCCATGGATACTACCTCACCCTTTTAAGGCAACCATCAATGTTCATTTTAATGTGACTTCACTTATACACAAGCACCAGGTTTGTAACCAATCCAGAGAGACAGGACAAGGAGTGTCCACAATGTCCTTGGTGGAAATAAAATCAAGTTAGAAATATCCAGTGTCAAAATAATGCCACTGTCCTGTTAGGAACGGTCCTTTGATGTCTGGTATGTTCTTACCTGAATCTAAAATAAAATGGACTCAGTGTCAAGTCTATATGCAAAATAATCATTTCTACCTGAGCTTTTGAATGTTGGGAAATATGTGTCATTATGATCATAAACTTTCTTCATCTATAACTTTTAAGCATGATAAAACCTTGCAAATGCAAAAATAAAATTTCAGTAGCAAGTAGACTTACCCCTAGTATCTTTGCTTCATCTTTAAAGTATATTTTTCCTGTTTCCACAAGTACATTTACCATTTGTATATTTTCTTGACCCTGCTGAAAGCCAGCAGAGATTCCTGAAGTAGTGAAGACAGGACGCTGACCACCTTGAGCTTGGTTTATTACATTCTGAAGTTGTTGAGTCCAAGAAGCTATAATATTTCTTGGTGGATTGACTGTGGGTTCACTCATTTCAGCTTGGATGTTATGATTGTGTCCAAAATTCTATGAAACATACCAAAATAATACATTTACCAGAAAAGAAATTGAGGACATTCATATTATTTTCTAATTCTCATATAAATATTTGATAACTTAACTTGAGTAATATATATATCTGTATCTATCTATCTATCTATCTATCTATCTATCTATCTATCTATCTATCTATCTATCATCAATAGATTTCTGGTGTGCCATTTTAACATAAGCACTGGACTGTTAACTGCTGGGTTGGCAGTTCAAACTCAGCAAGTTGCTTCTCGGAAACCCTATACAGGGTCACTATGAATTGGAACCTATCTGATGGCACTCACCAATACACACATATGTTTTTTGCTGTTAAGTGCTGTGGAGTCGGCTCTGACTCAGATCGACACTTTATAGGGTGTCTGAGACTTTAAATCTTTCTCCTGAGTAGTGCTGGCAGGCTCAAACCATTAGTCCTGTGGTTCACAGCCCAGTGCATATTGAATAGAGCCACTGTGCCACACACACACACACACACACGTGTACATATGTTAAGTATACATATATACATATAATTAACAACATATATTTAACAACAACATACATGTATATATATATATATATTATTCAAGTTAAATTCTTCTGAAGAGTAATGGAAAGAGGTAAGGGACTGTGGTTGTTAGAATACTATTTTCCAATATATATATATATATATATTATTCAAGTTAAATTCTTCTGAAGAGTAATGGAAAGAGGTAAGGGACTGTGGTTGTTAGAATACTATTTTCCAAAGATGGTCATGCTTTAATTCCCAGAATTTGTGAAAATATGTTGTTATTGTTAGGTGTCATTGAGTTGGTACTGACTTATAGCTATCTTATGCACACAGAATGAGACACTACCAGGTCCCACACCAAACTTACAATTGATCTACACCTGAGCCCATTGCTGTCCCCACTATGTCAATCCATCTCTTTGACACAAAAGAGGTCTTCCTCTTTTTCTCCAAACTCCACTTTACCAAACATGATATCCTTCTCTAGGGACTGGTCCCTCCTAATAATATGTCCAAAGTATGAGCTGAAGTATGACAATCCTGGCTTCCAAGGAGCACTCTGGCTGTACTTCTTCCAACACAGACCTTTTGGCAGTTCATGGTACTTTGAAAATTCTCCTCTAACACCATAACTCAAGTGCACTAATTCTTCTATGGTTTTCCTTATTCACTGTCCAACTTTCATATGCATATGAGGTTACTGAAAATACCATGGTTTGGATCAGGCATACCTTGGTGTTCAAACTGACGTATTTGCTCTTCAACACTTTAAAGAGGCCTTGTGCAGCAGATTTGCTCAATTAAATATGGTGTTTGATTTCTTGACTACTGCTTCCAAGAGTGTTGATAGTGGATCCAAGCAAAATGAAGTCTTTGACAACTTCAATCTTTTCTCCATTTATATGAATATTGCTTATTGGTCCAGTGGTGAGGATTTTTGTTTCCTTTACACTGAGGTGCAACCCATACCAAAGGCTGTGATATGAATCAGTAAGTACTTTAAGTCCTCTTCACTTTCAACAAGCAAGGTTGCATCATCTGCATATTGCAGGTTGTTAATGAGTCTTCTTACAATCGTGATGTTACATTTTCCTTTATATAATCCAGCTTCTTATTATTTACTCTGCATACAGATTGAATAAATGTGGTGAAAGAATAAAACCCTGGCACATACCTTTTCTAATTTTAAACCGTTTGGTGTTGTTCTGTTCAAACAACTGCCTCCTGGTCTATCTATAGGTTACTCATGGGCACAATTAAGTGTTCCAGAATACTCATTCTACACAATGTTGTCCAATGCTTGTCATGATTCACACAATTGAAAACCTTTGCATTGTCAATAATGCATAGGTAAACATCTTTCTGGTATTCTCTGCTTTCAGCAAAGATCCATCTGACGTCAGCAATGATATCCCTAGTTCTTCTGAATCCAGCTTGAACCTTTTGAAGTTCTCTGTCAATGTGCAGTTGCATCCAGTTTTGTATTATCTTTAGCAAAGTTTTGCATGTGTTATTAATGATATTGTCAGATGATTTCTGCATTCCATTGGGTCACCTCTCTTTGGAATGGGCAAAAATATGGATCTCTTCCAGTCAGTTGGGCAGGTAGTTGTCTTCCAAATTTTTTTGCATAGATGAGTGAGTGCCTCCAGTGCCACATCAGTTTGTTGAGATTTCAATTTTTATTCCAACAATTCCTGGTGCTTTGCTCTTTGCCAATGCCTTCAATGCACCTTGGACTTCTTCCTTCAGTATCATTGGCTCTTGATCATATACTACCTCTTGAAATGGTTGAACATCAACCATTTCTTTTTGGTACAGTGATTGTATATTCCTTCGATCTTCTTTTGATGCTTTCTGCATCATTCAGTATTTTGCCCATAGAATCTGTCAATACCACAAGCCAAGGCTTTAGTTTTTCTCTTCACTTCTTTCAGCTTGAGAAATGTTATGTGTGTTCTTCCCTTTTGCTTTTCTAACTCTAGGTCTTTGCACATTTCTTTATAATACTTGACTTTGTCTTCTGGAGCTGACCTTTAAAATGAATGTTCAGCTCTTTTACCTCTTCATTTTTTTCCATTTGCTTTGGCATCTCTATTATGGACAACAAGTTTTAGAGTCTCTTCTGACATCCATTTTGGTATTTTCTTTCTTTCTTATTTTCTTAATGAACTTTTGCTTTTGTTTTGCATGATGTTCTTGATTACATCCCCCAAATTCTCTGGTCTTCATTATTTTGTGCCTAATTCATTGAATCTTTTCTTGAGATGATATCGGAATTCAGGTGAGATATGTTCAGGGTCATATTTTGGCTCAGGCGGACTTGTTCCAATTTCCTTCAGCTTCAGCCTCAACCTGCATATGACCAATTGGTTGTCTGTTCCACAGTCTGTCCCTGACCTTGTTTTGGCTGATGATATGGAGCTTTTCCACTGTCTCTTTCCACTGATGTAGTCAGTTTGATTTCTGTGTATTTCATCTGGTGAGGTCCTTGCGTATAGTCATCGATTATGTTCTGAAAAAGGTATTTCCAATGAAGAAGTCGTTGGTCTTGCAAAAATCTGTAATGAGATCTCCAGCATCGTTTCTATCTTAAGGCCACATTTTCCAATTACTGATCCTCCAGCTGTCTGTAATTAACAAAACATCTTGATTGTATGTTTGGTCAATTTCAGACTGAAGAAGTTGGTAGAAATTTTAGGTTTCATCATCACTGACTTTAGTGGTTGGTGCATAAATTAGAATAATAATGATATTAACTCATCTTCCTTGTAAGCATAAGGATATTATCATATTATAGGTAGCATTGTACTGCAAGACAGATCTTGATATGTTCTTTTTGATGATGAATACACCATTCCTCTTTAATTTTTCATTCCATTATAGTAAACCATGTGATTGTCAGATTCCAAAAGGTTAAAATCAGCCCATTTCAGCTCACCAATGCCTAGGATATTGATGTTTGTCTATTCCATTTCATTTTTTGACAATTTCTAAATTTCCTCAATTCATACTTCTAGCAGTTCATGCTCTGATTTATTAATGGATGTTTACACCTGTTTCTCTTTATTTTGTGATGTGCCCCATCAGCAAATGAAGGTTCCAAAGGCTTTACTTCATTCATGTCATCACGGTCTTTGATGAGGCAGCTCTTTCCCAATCATATTTTGAGTGTCTTTCAATCTGAGGCCACTATGTCTGACAATATTCGGGTGCCTTCATCATGTTTCTATATTCACTATTCTGGTGCTTGCAATGTTGCACTGCTATTCATAAGGCTTTCAGTGACTAAATATTTGGTAGTAGTCTGTCTCTCCTTCTTCTAATCTCTCTTCATCTGAAAGTTCAGCTGAAATCTGTTCACTGTGGGTGAGCCTGCTGGTATTTAAAATACCCATGGCATAGCTTCCAGAATCACAGCAACATGGTAGCCATCACAGTACGATAAACTGACAGGCAAGTGGTGATGTGAATACATGGCAGATGAGGATTAAGGTCGTAGATGAAATTAAGGTTGTTAATCAGGTGACCTTAAAATAGGCTGTTATCCTGGATAAGAATGATGTATTAGACAAATCTGCTGCAAAAGACCTCTTTAAAGTGTTCAAGAATAAAGATGCCACTTCTAGGACTATGGTACACGTGATTCAAGTCATGGTATTTTAATTCATCTCATATGCATTTAAAAGATGGACAACAAAAGTTGGACTATGTGTAAGGAAGACTGTAGAATGATTGTTTCATTTGAATTATGGTATTGGCAGTGAATATTAAAAGAACTATGGACTTCCAGAAGAAAATACACATCTGTGTTTGAAGAAGTACAGCCAGAATGCTCCTCTGAAACCAGGATGGCAGGACTTCATCTCTCATACTTTGGACACATTTTAGGAGGAACCAGTCCTTGGATAAGGACATCATAGTTGATAAAATGGAGGGTCAGCAAAAAAAAAGCAAGATTCCAACAAGATGGATTGATGCAGTGGTGGCAACAATGAGCTCAAACACAACAATTGTTAGGGTGGCCCATGCCCAGGGAGTGGTTTGTTCTGTTTGTGCATAGGGTTGTTCTGAGTCAGAACCAACTCAACGCTGCAGGATAATGCACTGGACCACAAGGTTAGTTTGAACTGCAAGGTCAGTGGTACAAACCCATCAGCTGCTCCTTGGAAACCCTGTACAGGATCGCTATAAGTTGGAATCAACTTCATGGCACTTAACAGCACCAATAACAACAACATCATGGATTATTTTGGTGGGCCCATATAATTGCAAGGGCCCTAAAAGTGACAGAGGGAGGCAGAAGAAGTCAGGGAAAGAGAAGTGATGATGGAAGCAGGGTCCGAGAGATATGTTGTTGACTTTGGAAATGGAGGAAGGAACCATGAGCCAATGAATATGCCCTCTAGAAGCTGGAAAAGCAAGAAAATGATTTTATTCTCTCTAG